GGCACAGGACAGAGCTGGGTTTAGGGTTCTTGTACATACGTGGCTATGAGTCGCAAGCGACTTGATGGCACATAACAACAATAGCAGAATGTTATAATAATAACTATTACTATCTATTACTGCACGGACAGTAACCAGCCTACTGGTACACTCCCTCCAATTCTTCCTTCAGCACTTGTCCAGGGAATTCTTAGAAGGTTTAATCTGACAGTGCCAAGCCCCACCTATGAGCTCCTTCTAGCACCCCCCTTCCTCAGTCAGAACCTGCACCAGGCTGCCTGACCCAGGCCCATCTCCTTCCTCCCTCAACCCTGTCTAGCTGCTGGCTGCCCCCGGACTTGCGTCCACACCTTTTCATGTCCTGCTTCGCATCCTGGGCTGGGTATCCAGAGGCTGCTCTCCCCGCGTCCGCCCTACTCCACCTTCTCGGTGTTCTCCTCGGATCCTGTGCACACCTCTATAGCTAGGGCAGCACCTCATAATTGGTGACTCCTGCATGCCCAGGTTAGGGTGTGAGCTCCATGGAGACCGGGGCCCCCTCTTCCTTTGCACTCCTAGTACCTGGTGTTGAGTAGGGTCAATGGCAGACATCTGTCAGTTATTGCTTCACTGAAAGGAACTGTGGGTGACAAGGGGTACACCAGGACCTCCAATTTACATGAAGCAGAAGCTTTTGAACCATCTCCCAGACGGCAGTGAGGCTGGACCAGGGGCTCCGCCCTGGAGAGGTTCTGATGTCACCAGTGGAGTTCACACTGTTTCGCCTGGACACAAGTTCCCACCTGGGAGTCCTGTATCTTCTGAATGAAAAGACTTAAAAGGAAAAAAAAATACACACATATATTTATATATACTTACACTGCTTGTGGCTCCTTAAACTTCCCGACTTGCTGGATGTGGTACATGAGGTCCCCTCCGTTGACGTATTCCATGACAAAGTAGAGTCGATCCTGCAAAGCGAGGTTCAGGACATGAGCAGACAGCTTCCTTCATGCCTCACAGACCACACTTTCCTCTCTCATCAGCAACTCCCTCAGGCTGGGGCCCTTTAGTACTTTTTTGAACCCCAAATAAAGAACAAGTAATAAACCTTATCACACAAAGGCTTTGAGAACTGCCAAACCACTGCTTATGGCATAAGTATGTTCTCGGGCCCCAAGTCTGCCTCTTTCTGGTTACACGGACTTCCTGGTCCAGCTATGAGGGCCAGGCTTCACTCTCCTCTCTCTCCTGCACATACAGAGAACACAGGAGTAAACCAGATGCAGAGGCAAGAATCCACAATGGCTAATGACTTTCTCAAAAACTAATATTTTGAGGACCCAAATCTTTAGAGATGGGTTTGCACTGTCCAGGAGGCAGGCTACAGCTGGGGGTTCAACCAGACCCTTGTGAAAAGAAATCACATCTCGTGCGCTAGGCTGTCCTAGAAACGATACATGATCAATGAGGATTATATACATGATTAATGATAATCACAGTGACTACTTAGGGGGGTGGAAGGGGAGTGAAAATGGAAGGGTGAGTGGGATGTTCTTTTGCATTTACAAGATGACCACACAGTTTCTGCTTCCTCCCTGCCACTGGTATGCCAGGCGTTAGCCCCAACGAAGGGCACGCCACACAGACCTCGACAGATGTGAAGACGTATGAGGCTGTTATGCGTGGCCTGATGGAGTGACTGGGGAGAGGGCGGTGGTTAATGACAAAACCACTGCCAGCAGCACATGCGGCAGTGGACGAGATCTTCACTCTCTCTAGAAGCCAGCCTCATCTCACAAAGGCTATTCCACATTTGAGTGTCACGCAGGTAGGGGGACGAAAGGATGGAGCCTGTGCAAACCAACGGCCAGGACACCGTGCGGGGGGCGCCAATCTCTAGCTGTCCCATCGGAAGCTCTAATTTCAACTCCATCTCTGTGCTTGGTCGCTTTCCAGAGCGTCACCAATGCCAACAGGGACACAGAGCCTGGGCTGGGATTTAGAATACAATCCTCTCTTCTGAGCACATTGCTCTTGGCTCCCTGGAGGTTCTGGGGTCAGAACGGGTGGGAGCTGCTGGGAGCGGGGTGCTGAGCTACGGCTCAGTGGACATGCAGTGGTCAGCACCTGGCCCTGCAGCGCCACCCCCTGGCTCCCCTAGGCTGTGCTGTCTGCTCTCTGAGAAGCTCATGCAAGTGCCTCCAACCCACAGGAAGCTGAGAAATCGTAACAGAACAGTGACAATTATATTATTATTGTTGTTGTTGTTGTTATGTGTCGACGAGTCACTTGCGATTCGTAGCAACCCTATGCACAACAGCCCTAAATCCTGTTCTGTCCTGTGCCAATCTGTCTCTGACACACCCACCCTGACTAC